TCACCTCCGGGGCAGGCGGGAATTGAACTCATGCAGAAGTGGCTTTAGATTCTCAGTGCTGTGCTTTAACCCGCTGCGCCACCAGGGAGGGCCTCTTCTGATATTTTTAAGGATAAAATTTTACCCTCTCAAAAGGGCAATTTGGGGTGAGGGGGTCTCATATTTGATTGTTTCAGTTCCTTTGAAGGCAAAGATAAGTAAATTTCAGATGTTATAGCCCAGTTGCAGTTATTCTTTTGTAAACTCTTATTTTCTTTGTCTTTTGTTAGAATTAGGATCATATTGTATACATTGCTTTACAGTCTGCACTTTCCATTAACCGACGTTGTTCGAGGTTGTTTTTCTTTAATTATGAGATTTTAAATGGCTGTTTAGAAATCCATTGCAAAACTGGCCCATAATTTATTTTTCCTATACACAGCTAATATACCTTCATTCATTTTGATTCGAATTGTCTTACTATTATTTCAGCATTGCAGGTTACTGTCTGGTACATAGGCTGTTTTTTGTTATTTCTTTTTTGGGGGGGCCACATTTGATTGTTTAAGGTCCTATAAATGGATTTTGAGGCCAAGGATAAGTAAATTTCAGACATTATAGTCCAGTTGCATTTGTTATTTTGTGAACTCTTGTTTATTTTCTTTGACTTTTGTTCTATTGGAATTGTATACATTTTCTTATTAATTTATAAGAGCCTTATGTACTGTTTAACAATATTTATTTCTAGTAAACTCTCTTGCTAAACAGCAGTAAGACTATCTATCCTCAAAAAGAAAAGCTGAGGAGTGTTTTCACAATGGTAAGCTGGTATGGAAAGGGCTGAGCATAGAGTTTTAATGAAAAACGATTAAGAGAAAATCAGTGTAGATCATAACACACACTCTATTCTGTACTTCTTGATTCTAATATCAGCCTCCCTAAGGACATAATGACATTGATTTCCAGAAAGATGTTAGCAAGTCTTGTCTGAAAAGAATATTTAACAAATAATTACTTTTATCTCTTTTAGTGCAACGAAAAGCAAAAGAACAGGAAGAACGTGCTATGGAACAGGAACGTATAAATGAAGGTCTTAGGGAGCTGAACCGTGAAGAGAAGGAGAATTTTGCAAGGTATGGTTTTGTATTTTTTTATTTACTACCTTGGAAATAGGAAGACTTTTAACATAGGGAGGGTACAATGTGTCATAATTCATACAATTTTTTCATTATTTTACATCAGTGTGGTATATTAAAAGTTCAAAACTTTATAAAATTTCATATGAAAATAAGCATATGCTTTTCATGCACAAATAAAGTGAAATTCTGTTGTCATTGTTTTCATACACACTGTGTATTAAATTGGGTGAACACCAGAAAAAGAAAATGAAATGATTTTCAAAAATAGGCACCAATCTTAAATCTTAATTGTAACAGGCACTCAGTGTGTGAAATAAGATCTTCCCCATGAAATAAACAGTGCAATGCATAATCGGTTAGATTAGCAGAAATGCTTAGGGGCTAGGAGCCCATGCAGATGTCCCTGGGGTGACCTTATAACCTTACTGGGCAGCTGCCTTCGGAAACACCACTGCCTTCCTCTGCCAGGTGGGCAGTAGTCACCACAGCCAGGCTCGAGTGGAAGGGAAGGGCAGCTACCACCTGCAGCCTTTCTGGGCCATTGCAGCCCCTTCCCATCACCTACTATTGCCAGCCTCGTTCAGGGTGGTCACCCTTCCGTCCCTGAGTCACCCACACTTGTTGCATTGAAGTAGGTGCTTTTATTTCTAGAAAGTGTACGGTTTATGTGCCTTGTTCATTTGGGGGAACTGGTGACACTCTCTGGCCTATCCTGACTCCCTGCTGCTGCGTCTGCTCTGGGGGCCTTTCAGTCTCACTTTGAGAACTCTGCTGTTAGAGATGTGTGAGGGGCTGAATGTTAGCCAGTCTCTTCCCTCACCAACTTCTGAATCAACTGAGAGATTTGTTTTTATGTCTGGGTTAAGGTTTTAGTTACCTATTACTACAGAACAAACTATCTATAATTTTTGGTTTGAAGTGAGTTATGACTATTTCTCTTGATTCTGTGGTTAATAAAGTTCATCTGTGTCATTCCTGCTTCATGTGTTTCAAGTCAGGTTTGCACTCTTCCAAAGCCTCATCTGCAGGAGATGCCTAAGATACCTGTCCAGGCAGCATGGTATATGTGACAGATCTCACCTCTTGTTTTCACCTGGACTACGTCTTGGTGGCCTCTCTGTGTGACTCAAGGTCTTCACAGTACACTTGCTACTTAGGAGAGGCAGAGTTCTAACAGTGGACATCCCAAAAGACAGGAAGGGGAAGCTGTCATATACCCCAGACTCACATGGCATCCCTTCTGTCATATTCTTTTAGTCACAAAAGCTTGACCAGATTCAAGAGAATGGCTGTGAGAGGGGGGAGATTACTGTGACATCTCCAGAAAGTAGAATTTATCACAAAAGCATACTCATGCTATAGTCTTTTTATTTCTGATAAAAACTGATATTTAAATTTATAACTTGTAATAGGCTGCTATGAAGAAGTATGACATTTCTTCAAAAGCTTACAAACGATCCAGCAATCTCATTTCAGGGTATGTTTCCAGAATAATTGAAAACAGGGCCTTGAAGAGAGGTTTGCACACCAATGTTCATAGGATTTTGGAAACAACAGATAGATGAATGGGTAAACAAAATAATGAGGTGTTTTTCAGCCTTTAAAAGGAGGAAGTTCCCACATGCTACTGTATGGGTGAACCTTGAGACATTATGCTAGGTGAAATAAACCAGTCACAAAGAGACAAGTACTATATGAGTCCACTTAACATGTGTATCTAGACAGTCAAATGTGAAGAGTGGAAGAGTGAACCCCAAGGCTGAGGAGAAGGGGAAAAAGAGAGTTGCTGCTTTCCTGAGTATGGAGTTTCAGATTTGCAAGATGAAGAGGTCTGGGAGCTGTTTCACAATGGTGTGCATGTAGCTAACTGCTGAACTGTACACTTAAAATGGTTAAGAAGGTAAAGTTCACATTGCGTGATTTTTGCCACAATAAAAAATCCTTTTAAAATGAGTTATGTAGTTAAAATGTGGCTTGTAGATGAAGGAAATTGTAGTGATTACTGAACCTCACCCAGGGCGCTGCAGTGCCAGACCCCTGAAGTCCTTCCCTTGATGGAGGACAGGGCAGAACATGGGCAGACCGGCCTGATTCCATCTGACCAGTGGATAAGTCAATGTCTTCCTTAGAGAGGAGTGAGAGTGGAGGTGGGGAAAGGCCAAGGAACCCCTTCACATAGCAGTAAATATGAAGTAGGGAAGAAGCATCCTCCCTAGGCATGCTTAGCACAGTATTTGTTCTAAGATTATCTGAATTTTTATTGTTTAATAAACACACCATTGATTTTTTCCTCCATTCAGTTCCCAGTCATCCTGACTTAAATGAAAATTTTCAATTTGATTTCACATTTACATTTTCATTGCAAAATGCCCCCCAAATCCAAATGCACATATTTTTATAATTGTATGTTTTGACACTTCTAATGTTTTAGACGCTGTGGTTTAGCCCAGGAGTATAAGAAGCAACTGCAAATGCAAATATGCTACCAGCAGCAGGCCCGGGCGGCAAAGATGGAAGAGGAACGCAGAGAGTTTGAAGCAGGGAGAGCGGCAGACAGGCATTTCCAGGACAAGGTGCAGGAGATCCTGTCCACTCAGCCACTGCTGCTGCAGAACGTCCATCCCATGCGGAGGGCGTGCCCCGAGAGTCTCCCTCCTTAGTTTTGTGAACCTCGGTGTATCTTTCTTGTCTTTAATATTTTTAATAACAGTCTGCTTACATGTTTCTTTCAACCCATGGATAAACTGTGTTTTCTTCTCTGAAGTTGTGAAATTCAAATGCAAATTAAGGTTTTTTCCCCTTTATAAATTGTATAAACTTACAAATCTGATTGATGTCATTCATATCAGTTATTTTCCTCCCTTTCTTGTTCATTAATTAATATACTTTTCCTGTCTCTCTCTCCACCTGCCTATGTCCTCTTGCTTCCTTCCTCTGTTCTGTCAGGCATATAATTCACAATATTAACTGGACTTTTTCTCAGGCAGAGCTGGGACAATCAGCCACTTTCATTAGTCCATGTATTCAATCTTTTAACAAGTATTTGCTGAGTGCCCCCCAAATACTCAGCACTGTTTTGAATCCTGAGACTTCATCAAGAACAAAGCTGAACTCTTACTCTCATGGCGTTTACATCCTAGTGCAGGTAAGCAACAGTAAGTGTTATGTGCTGTAAAGCAGGAAATAGCAGGGTGCCATTTCTCTTTGTAAAGTCAGGAAAGGTCTTTTTGAGCAGTTAATGTTTGACTGGACCAGTCATGTGGCTATCTGGGGAGGGGGGACAAGCCACGCACAGGAAAGAACAGGTACACAGGCCCTGGGCCCGAAGCCGCCCAGTGCCTTGGCGGCACCTGAGCTATAGCAGTGAGGAGTGGTGAGGGAGGAAAGTGGCAGAAGTTTCATCGGGAAGATTGCGGGGGCAGAGGGTGCAAGACCCAGGGCCATGGTGAAAGGTGAGCTTGAGCACAGGAGTTGTTGCAGGGTTTGGAGCAGAAGGCCAATAAGATATGATAGAAAGTTGCTGGCTGCTGTGTTGAGAAAAGATTCCAGGGAGGCTACATAGGTTCAGTGAAGAGACTGCAGTGATCCAGGTGAGAGGTGAAGGTGGTGTTGATCCTTTGCTGCGTCCCTTCCACCCTGAAGCACAGTTGGCCATGTAACCGATAAGATACTCCTTTTGGGGAACTTTTCATCTTTCTTCTACATGTTCTCATTGTTCATGATCACCCCGATGGCATATCTAGAGAAGCTTTCTAAATCAGTGCTTTATTTCTAGCCAATGTTCTATGTAAAACTTTTAGACTAATTTATTTTAAACTCCCTTTAAACAGCTTTACTGAGGCTTAACTTCCATACCATAAAATTCTCCCATTGTGAGTGATTTTCACTTAATTGGGGGAGCTATGCCACTACCACCACAGTCCAGTTTCAGAATATTTTTCTTTTTTTTTGAAGATTTATTTATTCATAGAAGAACTGGGATGTAGGCCAGAGGTGGGAGGGGGGTGGAGGCTGAGAGTATTCACCAGAGACAAAGTAGGGAACAGAGCAGTTCAATCTACTGAAATACACTGCTGAGGGGAGCAGTGAGGAGACAGGAGGGATCAGCTGTACCATATGTGGGTCAGTTCCCGGGCTGGGGATCAAACTCAGGCTATAGCAGTGATAATTTTTGAGATTTAACCCCTATTTAACTCCAGGGAGGCCTCCCAGTTTGGGAACATTTCTACCACTCCCCAAAAGCTCCCTCATACATGTTTCAATTGATCCCCATTTCTTTACCTAGTGCCAAGTAACTGTCGATCAGCTTGCTGTCTTTATCCATTTTTTAATTGAAGTTTCATATTACTGAGATCACCCAGTATTTCATCTTTTGAGGTTGGTTTTTGAGGCCTCCTTATGACAGTGAATACATCAGTAATTCATCATTTTTATTGTAATATTCCACAGTATGGATCTATCATATTTATGTTTACTAGTTGAGGGAAATGTGGATTTTTTTCCAGTTTTTGGCTGCCATGAATATATTTCATTCCCTAATTGGCATTTCCCAAATGAGCATCTTCCCATAGGCTTCCTAGCCACTTGTTTTTGAATTGTCTATTCAAATTTTCTAATTGGACTGTTTGTCTTCTTCTTACCAAGTTGTAATGGGTCCCTGTATATTCTGATAACAAGCTCTTTATCAGTTCTCTGATTGGCAAGTATTGAATGTTTACACTGTGCACAAATTGATAAAATGAAGTACTTACAAAACTAGTGCACAGTAATAAAGTAAGTCTTTTAAGGTTAAGAGGAAAGGGGAAGGAGAAAGTGATAAAGAGGTATAAGGGATGGTGGTGGTAACTTTTTTTCATTTTTTAAAGATTTATTTATTTATGCATACAGTACTGAGGTACAGGGGCAGAGAGAGGCTTCACCAGAGACAGAGTGGGGAGCAGAACAGGCAGATGGATGAAGTACACTGCTAAGGGGAGCAGTGGGCAGGACAGGAGAGGTCTGCTGTGCCATGTGGGTCACCTCCCTGGCCAGGGATTAAAATTGTGCTGAAGCAGCTGTGGCTAGCTTTGTAGTGCTGTGTTTTAACCTAGTGCCAAGTAACTGTCGATCAGCTTGCTGTCTTTATCCATTTTTTAATTGAAGTTTCATATTACTGAGATCACCCAGTATGTCATCTTTTGAGGTTGGTTTTTGAGGCCTACTTATGACAGTGAATACATCAGTAATTCATCATTTTTATTGTAATATTCCACAGTATGGATCTATCATATCCATGCCACCAGGGAGGGTCTAAAATGTTTTTTTAAAAATCCAAAACATCTGAGAAGATCATGAAACTCAATAACAAAACAACAATAATAATAATAAAAAAAACATAAAAAATAAAAGTCTTCCTTTTTGGGACAAGAGAGTGGCTTGTGTTGATTTACAATGAATGAAATCATTCATTTATTCATCAAATGAAAAAGATTTGCTCTCGGCAAATTTGAAATCTTTTATTATTCAACTCTGAATCAATCTCCTCCAACTCTTCATGCCCCCTTGTGGCCAATGTTAACTTCTAATTCAAAAGTAGGAATCTTGGGCCCTCCCTGGTGGCCCAGTGGGCTAAAGGGCAGCATTAAGAAGCCAGCCACAGTCACTACAACTTGAGTTGGATCCTGGCCAGGAGCTGACCCACATGGTGCGGCAGACCTCTTCTGTCTCACCTGCTCCTCCCCTCACCAGTGTACTTAGTCAATCTGCCTGTTCTGCTCCCCAGTCTGTCTCTGGTGAATCCTGCACCTCTAGCCTGTACCCAAGGTCTGTATGCATAAATAAATAAAATCTTTTTTTAAAAAAGTAGGAGTCTTGTGGGGAAATAGAGAAAAAACTATGCTTTAAGCTTTGTTGAAAATTAATTGCTATATATGTAAGGGAATATTTCTGGGCATTCCACTCTTCTCCCAGTTTAGATTTCTAGCCTCACACCAACACAACACTGTGTGGATTACTATAGTCTTTTAGGAAGTTGACTTTATTTTTTGATCCCTTACCTCTAAATATTTGTCCATAAGATTGTTAGGATCACCTTGTCAATTTCTACGAAAATATCTGCTGAGATTTTGATGGAGAGTGCATTGAATATCAGTTTGGGGAGAATAATCTCTTGGTATTTGTTTTACTTAATGTGAACATGTGAGTGTCACTATGAATGTGAGTTTGACTGGGCATGTTGCTGTACAAAGACTGAGTTTCCATTTTACTCCCTGCAGGCAGTGTTTATCCAGGTGCCTAATTCTGGCTAAGCAATTCTGAATAAATGCATTAGGTGGGCCTTTGAGGAAGATCCCTTTCAAGGCATAGGTGGGACTTTTATAATGGCTGAGTAAGGAGCTCTGCAAATCCTCTCCCCCAAAGTCTCTGATAAAATGGAAATGCTGTCAAAAACATTCACTTCAGGAACCTAGAAGCGTACCAGAGACGCGAGTGAAATAGAGAGACAGACAGCTCTCACCACAAACCGAATCCATGGCACCTTGATCTTGGACTTCAGCCTCCAGAACTGTGAGAAGATAAATGTCTGTTACTGAAGTTTCCTACTCAGTGCTTGGATCTTGTTATGGCTGCCTAAACAAATAATGCAAAGTCGTTATTATTCCCCAGAATATCTCACAGCTCCTACAACAGTGCTTAGCACTGAGAAGTCCCTCAACAGATATTTTACTGATTCACAAATGAATGGTGGTGTGTGGTGCTGGCTACTCCATGTTCACTTCAAGTGTTTGTCTGGAGACAGACTCGGCCCACCAGCTCCCACCTGCAGCTGCAATGCCCCAAAAAATCAAAAACTAGAAAGTCTGGTTCTAAACCTCACTTACCAGCAGAACCTGACCTGCACTGGTGTGAAAAGATGTTGTGACCTTACAAGGTTTTACTGATTCTGATTACTGGGCACATCTCCAGCTCAAGGTGACAATGTCGAGGTTTACAGTGTCGTAAAATCTATGGTTTAGGTGTATGTGTATATACTTATTATTATTATTTTTTTTACAATAAAACTTAGAACTCCAAAACATATCTGGCCCCAAGGATTTGGGATAAAGATTTGGACTGTACTCCACTACATAAGGGGTTAATATCCCCATGGCTGTCAGCTCCAAGAAGATAATGGGAAACACTAATTTTCTAGTGTGTAAATAAACTGCAATTGCTATTTGAGCAGAATGTGATATAACAATTCTAAACTGGGAAGAGGCGTGCTTGGAATTCAGCCATGTTTACTGCGATGCAGGGACAGATGTCAGTGTTGTTTTTGAGCACTTTATTTCACCAGCCTATAACGTGTGCTGGTGCAGTTTTTAAGATGTAATGAAAAAGTATGATGGCACCTGAGGAAATAGCTAGGGCTCAGTTTAAAATCCAATTGGCATTTTATAAATTGCATTTGGCAATCAGACTCATCAATAAAAAAACACAATAAGAACACTAACAGTTATTTATTATCATGGTCAGTATTACTACTACAGATAATAGCAACAAAATTAATTTGCAAATTTACAAAGCGTAGTAGGTTTCTTAACTGAGCCTCTGAAAGCCTTTTGTAATACCCATTCTCTTGGCTATGTTAAGCCTCTGCTAGACCCTCGAGAGCATAAAAATAAGGCAGGTTCAGTTTCTTTCCTTGAGGAATCTACAATCTGTTGAAGATCAAGACCTAGAGACAAGAAATAACTTCAAACTATCAAGGCAGCATATATCAAGTGATGTGTGAAATATAATCAAGTGGGCAGAGCAGACTTAAGATTTTGAGTTGAAGGAGGCCTGGGCTGGAGGACAGGCTGGAACA